GCCACCACCCCGGCCACCCCCCGGTCCCCCGCTCTGTGCTGTGGAGATCGCTCTCACTGTTTTTACATCAGCCTCCTCCCAGCTCCGTGCGCTCCCGGTCCGCGTGGTGCAAAGCAGCCCTGGACTCACATGGTTCCCGGTGAGCCGTGGCGCTTGATTGCCCACGCGCCTCCCCCAGCCTCGTCACTCTTCTCCCCAGGTTCCGGCAGTCAGAGCAGCACACAGGACAAGGGACAGCCTGGTTTCCAAGGCTGTGGGAGGTGTGGGGAGGAGGAGGGGGAAGTGAGCAAACATTTTGACCCCAGGGGTGTCTGTCCCACAGACAACACAAAGCGTGCCTGGTGCATCCAGCCAGGGCAGGTGCTGAAGCTGCTGAGCCGCTGTGAGCTCTGCCAGCAGCAGAGCACCTGCCCCAGCCACCCGGCTGCTACTGGGTCATCTCCATCCTGTGTTTCCTCCAAAGCTGAGACCGGAGCAGCTCTGTCGGTTTCATGCGTGCAGGAACCCACCACGTGCTCCGCAGCACAACACGCGAACGTAGCCAGGGAGCTTGTGGCTTTGGAGGGGCCAGCTTTGGTCAGGATGAGAGACGGTCTCCTGCAGTTTGAGGCAAGGTTGCAAAGCTGTCCCCATCCCAGGGTGAAGCTCTGGGATTTCTGCTCAGTGCGTGGGGTGGGCAGGCATGGGCACCCTTCTTCCAGTCACGTAGGCTCTGGCTTGATCTCCTGACCAGCACGTCAGTCACCTGCACCCCAGTGCCTGACGGAGTCCGGTACCCTCTGAGCGTGTTCTGTTAGATAATCCACACAAGGAGGGTTTGGTGCTTGGTACCACATTTACTTCTGTGTAGGCATTTGATCTTACATTGGATTTTCCTTTAGCAGAGTGGTATGTACTGCAATCGCAGTACAAGCACAGTACCACGTGGTGGGATTGCAGTAGAAACGTGATTCCCATCACCTCTGGATGCTCCACGGTCGTCGTGCTGGGTGTCCCCAGCCACCGGGAGTCCCCAACCGCCGGGAGGGAGTGTGTTGTCTGGGGCCAGCTCAAGCCTGTTGCTCTCTAGTGCTATTTTGCCGTCATTCGGTGCTCGCACTCGACATAGGGCTGAGCCAGGTGAACCTCCCCGTGGTGGCCGGGATGATGCAGGAGGACACATGAGCTCCTCTGGTGTCTCAGCGTGGACCCCCTTGTGCCCCCGTCCCCGGTGCTATTTTGCCGTCATTCGGTGCTCGCACTCGACATAGGGCTGAGCCAGGTGAACCTCCCCGTGGTGGCCGGGATGATGCAGGAGGACACATGAGCTCCTCTGGTGTCTCAGCGTGGACCCCCTTGTGCCCCCGTCCCCGGCACCGATCCCCACGCGGCCCCCCGGCCCCCACGCCACTTCGGGTCCCGCAGCCGTCGTGCTGAAAAGGGAGGAGCAGTA